AGAACGCATCTTCCAGGCCTCACATAGGCTTCGTACAGGCTGTCCGCTGCGCATGTGTTCGCAGGGTTGGAGTTTGAATTTTGGGGCACCTGATGTCGTGGTGCCTGCATAGCTTGCAGATGCTTGCAGGGGCTCTTCTGCTCAAGACCTGAAAAGGCGATAGTCCAGAAAGTCCACACTGCAGAGAGTTGTCAGGCTTAAGGCTTAAGGATGAAATTACTTTTGAAAACCTGATGCAAAGGGTCTTGGAGCTCAGCCCGGGGCAGTTTGCTGTCCATCGTTTTGCCGCCCCTCTGTGGGCCTGATAGTTTGGCTTTGGCATGTGAAGCGTGATGCCGTAGCTGAGTTTTGACTCTCAACATCCCACACCAACCCAAGGCTTTGGCAGCTGCAGGCCCTGATTCAAAGAAGGCTTCTGGGGCACAAGCAGCTTGCCAGTGTTCCTGCCTTGGGGCGCCGAGCCCGGCTGATTCGAAGTTTTGCAAGAAGCAGCCCGGCTCGTGCCAGTCGTTTCTGAAGAGAAATAAAAGAGCCGCCGGCCTCATGCCGTTGCTGCCGCTTCGGAGATCGTGGGTCCGCATTCCATTCTAGATGGGTCATGGGCAGAGCATCGGAAGGCGGAGAAAGTGGTGTTTGGGGCTCCACTCTAGTGGAGAGTTCGAGTGTGACAAGCTCACATCATTTGCTCCCGATGGTGGCCATTGATTTTTCCGAAGATGGAAGCAACCTTTGAGCACATACTGCCAGTTCCACTGGCCCGACTTTGTCCCCTTGTTGCCCACTTCCCGAACTCCCGATTCTCTCGAGGAGCGCACCGAGCGGTACATTGCCTGGGTACCTCGGCAGCTAACTTGTCCGGTTTTCGAGGTCTCAACACCTTTCGCATGAAAAGTGGCCAGATTGACGAGACGGAGTTGCACACAATGCATGCAAGAAGCCCGAAGTTGTCATGTGGTGACATCACCCATGACCCTGGAAAGCCCTGTGAAACCTTTGTAGTGCCTGGAGGGCATGCTTCTACCGTACTCAGGTGAAGCTGATGCTCGGTCCTAGAGGAAAAGTTAGGACCTTCCAATAACCGACCAGTCGAGACCAATCGACCCTGCCATGCGGGCTTTTTCCATGCGAAGTGGGAGGCAAAAAGAAGGCAAGGGGCTCCAAGCCACCAGCACAGCCTTCCATACTGCCTGTGGCAGTCTACTGTACACTTCTGAATGCATGAGCTGATTGACCCAACCCCAGCAACGGAGATGATCAAGACGACATCTTTGTCGACTTGCTAGCCTCTTTTGCTAACACCCTGGCTGCAGATGTTGCCTCCACGTTTTTTTAATCCAGACGCGACCTGGAAACCCAGGCTTGTGAGATGGTGGCAGCCTTGAAAGGGACTCATGCAGCTTCTCGTCCTAAATGGCCACGGGTGATCTATAATCTATGTGTTTTCTCTCACCAACACGAAGATGATATCCTGGAGGCTCTGGAGGAACGATTCCACGCTGAAGTTTCGCTACCTGCTGGCTACGAGCTGGGCGACTGGGAGCGCTTTGCACGAGAGCAGCTCAGGCCTGAAACTTTGTACCCCGAAGTCTAGTGGATCCAAGATGATGCAAGGAATTCAGGAACAGGATGGAAGAGGGCTTCATATAATCAGGTGCGAGCACTACAACGACACGTGCAGTCTAGGAGTAGCGCCCCTTTGCTCGTACTTCAGCCTTGGCCAGGCACACAGAAGCCTGGGAGCACGTGCATGTTCAGGACGACGAGGTGCAAAGTCAGTACTCTTGTGCAGGCAGGTGTGCAGGCATTGGCCCGCTCTATATCGACTTGTAACGACATTCGAGATGACTGAAACCGACCTGTTCGGATCAGACGCGCAAGAGACAGACATGGTCGTTTTGTCGGAACAAGCGAGCGCGCTGGCAGGTTTCGGAACAAGTGCACACGCCGGAGCTCGACGAACAGCGTGCGGTACTGTCTCTCTTGAAGGTGGCAGAGTATGCAGCCTGGCAGATCTGAATGCATTCTGCAGCGGATGTACAATGTACCAGCAAGCAGGCGGTAACGTAGCAGTGGCTCAAGCAGTTCTCAGACATGAGTGCCTTGTTCGATCTGTCTACAATGGGTTCAGGTCGCAAGCCGAAACGGCTCACAACTCATTGACAGCGTAAAGTTTGCATTGCTGCTGACGGAGTACGGCATCAAGGACCCAGAGACGCTCAAGGCCACGGTGGCCTCTACTCGTAGCAGCTTCACTGCCAGGGACTGTTAGATCTATAGTTGTCTACGTGCGAAGGCGACCGAAAGATGACAGAGCCGTAGCACGACTCGCAAGTAGCCTGGAAGAATCATTCAAACAGAAGTGCAAGCCTGCCACAAGCTGCAGACTTGCACCTTGTGGGCACTCTTGGCGATGGTCTGATCCCGGTAAGTGATTCGGTCATCGGTTCAGACATGCAGATGTAAGGGGAAATGAACAAATTGGGTTTCCACAGTACCATTTAGATTTCGATGAGAGACCGTGGCCCCTGATTGTGCAGGCAGGGCTGCTCCTCGGAACTGCCAATGGTCACGACCGACCCTTCCTCGCACAGCACAGCTCTTTCTTGTTGCTTTTTGCGCATATCTGCTGCAAAACCCCGTACATCCGGCAGGCTTGCCCGCGCCTGAAACTTCATTCATGATACCGGCAGGTTCTGAACGGAGAAGTTCAACGACCCTCAAGCAACAGTACAGGATCTCCTGTCAGAGCCCATATTGGTTGACAGTAGCTCGGATGAGCAATCACTATGTTGGCAAGGCTCTGGCATCCTGCAACCTCGCAAGCGGAGCTTCGAAGCCTTGAAGTCCCCGAAAATAAAGAAAAACGCTTGCATGCCAAGCCTCACCTCTCAGGAGTGATTGCGAAGGAGTTTGGAAACGAGGTGGCATCCATACTCCGGGGCCTGGATGCTCCATTTCCCTCTGTTGCAACCAATGCCAAGGCCAATCGGATGCTAGGCCTGCTACGATCCAGTCTTTCAGATCTCAGATAATCTCAGCATGTCCGTCTTTTGAGATTGTGCCCCGATTGGTCCCGAAATTTTTGCAAGCCAAGGATCCGTCTCGGTAAGCACTTGCACGAGTTACGGAAGCTCCAGTGGGGGACACTCTCTTCGCCAGAGGATATTGAAGAATTCCGCACCCTGCCACTTGGACCAAATCCTCAAAGAGCACTCGCAGCTGTGTTTGCATACATCTGTGCGCTCAGCATCTCCCGAAGTGAGGTTGGAAAGAACACGTGGTGTTCGAAAGATTCTTTCTGGCAGCCACCCGCCTTTGGAAGAGGCTGCGGGCATGCATACTCGAGCGCTTGAGCTGGCTAGTAAATTTCGGCATGCGTCGTCAACAAAGACTGCAATCCTGCAATGCATCCCCGGATGCCAAGCTAAATCATGGTGTCGCAAAAATTACGTTTTATTTTGCCGCACCGTGGTATTTCGAGTACGACTGCTGCTGCTGCTGCTCTTGCTTCCTACTACTGTTGCTACTACGTACTACTTAATACCGACTGCTTACTACGACTGCCTACTTACTACTTACTACTGCTACCACCACCGCTCCGACGACGACGACGACTACTACTACTACGACGACGACTACTACGACTACTACGACTACGACTATTACTACTACTACTACTACTACTACTACTACTTCTGCTTCTGCTTCTGCTTCTGCTTCTGCTTCTGCTTCTGCTTCTGCTGCTTCCGCTTCTTCTACTACTACTACGACGACTACTACTACTACTACTACGACTACCACGACGACGACGACGACGACGACGACGACTATTACCACTACTACTACTACTACTACTACTACTACTACTGCTACGACCCCTACGACGAGGACTGCTACTATTACACTACTACTGCGACACCTACTGCACCTACGACACTTCGTACTACTATACCACTGCCAGCACCACTCTTACTACCATCAGTACCACTACCGTCGCCCCTACCAAGCCTACCGAGGCGACGAATGCTTCTTCAATCCGTTCCACCCCTGTCCCGCGTTATTGCCAACCCTCCCATTGCGCGGAGCCTGTTCCGGACGAAGCTTCTTCCTAATCCTTGAAGCAGGGCGGGGGCGCGAGTGGTTACTAACCAAACTGCACAGTAGAACAGTAGAGTGCTTTCGGCTCAGGAGTTCCCTAGAGTAAGAGCATCTGCAGATCAAAAATCCAACGTGAATCACCGCCGCAGGCTTTGGATGACGTCTTCGGTGGCCAGGTTCGGCTTGCCAGCGGCGAGTTGACACCCGCAAGCCTGGAATCCGTGGAAGACGCGGAGTTCTGGCATTGAGGCAGGATGAGGACTCTCCATTACAGTGATTACAGTGTTGCATAACTTCAACGCCTGACCGCATGGCTTTGCCGCTTCATCCGTAAAGCTTTTCATGCCTGACTCCTGTGCAGACATCGGTGCGCTGTGGACAGCACAGACCGTTGTCGCAGGAGCAATAGCTTTCTCAGTGTTCTTGATTGAAGAGAGCGGGGTTCTGGCGTCGACCCAAACACCGCCGCCGTCAATTCGAGCTTTTGCTTGCTGTCTCACCCCATGTTTTCCTGAGACAGAGAGTGAACGCCTGCCTACAAACTTTTTTACGGCGCTTTTAAAGCCATACTTCCGGTGGACGAAAGAACCCCCGGAAGCCAACTGTTCTCCGCGTGCGTGCCTTTCTTAAACGAGGCTCCATGCGATCGAGGCTCATGAGGCAGCTGGACAGCGACATGGTGCAAAACCAGCAGGATGTCGCTCTTCGGTCCGAACTGCTTGCAGACGGCGTCTGGCATTGGCACCCGAATCTGAATATGACCGATATACCAATGATGGATCCAAGGCGGCAAGCACATTATACAAGGGCCACTAGACATGCCGGGACGTGTGCCCACAAGGGGAACACGCATGCAGACACACGTACACACGCACTGACTGACACTCATGCAGTGAATGTCCATCGCAACAGCGACGCTGCAATGCACAACAAGAGGAGCTGAGCTGGTGGTTACGAGAGCACGAATGTCGTAGGTCACCTTGCAGTGGCAAGATGCCTCATCTCAAATGGAAATTGCATCGTTACAGTATGGGATCCAGGGCGGTTTAGGGTCTAGGGTGTCGCACATAGCTTTGATGATTGTCCTGGTCGCCATGGTGCTGTGATGAGCCGCAAGCCAAGGAAGCAAAGCTCGCTCAGAGCAAAAGTGAAATGTACACTGCAAGAGCTGCAGAGCAGCACGGTCTGCGCAGCGGACCATTGTGAAAAAAACATTTTGCGTTGGAAAGGTGCACTGCCAGGTCCAGATTCTAGCTTCATCTCTTACGGAAGTGGGCACGGACGGCAAACACAGCTTCTCGTTGACGTCTGAAGCGGTACTACATGTGCCCATGTACCCACACTTCCATGCTCTCGTGTAAGGACCGACACCGGGAGGCCGTCAGAGGTCCTGGACCCCTGGCAACAGGCCGTCTCTCAAAGAGTTCGCACGGAGGAGTTCGAAGACAGCTTTTCTCAGCGTGAAAGGACCTCTGGGTGGTGCTAGGTAAGGTTGAGATGGTTGAGCCTGGGTTGTGCCCATGCTCTGGAGAACGCTTTCGCAAGACATGGAGTAGCTTCTTGATCGGGCCCCAGGGGTGAAAGGGCAAAACGAGGGACTTCGAGCATAACTGTGCGGATGGCTTGCAGAACCTGCCTCCTTACATGGCTTGGGCAGGGAATCGGCGGGACGCCCTCCCACGCCGTCAAGCGCCCAAGCTTCTGTGTCAGATTGTGTCGGATATTGTCCCAGAACTAGGTGACCAGATCCCAGGCTCGCAGGAACGCGTTGCCTTCCAGCTTCAGCTTTCTTTGCATTCTGCATGCTGCCCCAAGCCTGCTCCAGGGCTTTGAAGCCCGAAGCCAACTGCTGAGGAGATGAATTTCACAGACGGAGCATGATCCTCGAAGCCGTGGCCCGAGGGGGGCCGGCACAAGAAAAGCGACGGAGACGCACGGACAGAGGTCAAGTCGACTCTGGCTTTTGCTCACATGCAAGCACTTGGCAAGCCGACCGGCCAACACAGCATCTTAGAAGCATGTGCCTGACAACTGGTTGTTGCCGGGGCTTTGAAACAGGTAGTCGCCAGGATGTTCTTTCTTGCAGTTTGGGCTTTTGTCAATCTCTCTGTGGCAAAACGGGGTGATAAAACAAGCGCACATGATCGAGCGGCAGAAACAGTCGGATTTAAGCTTCGGAATTCGCGCGAGGGGGCAAAGTCTGGAACGCATGTAATCATGTAATGATGTGAGGAATCGTAGGCTGCGGCAGGGGTGGGGGGGTGGGGGCCCTATACTTTTGGATGTGAGCAGAGTAGAAGGTCAACCATGCAGAACACCGGCTGGATTCCTTCCCGAAGCGATGGCTAAGGTCTCACGAATTCCGCGCATGCGCTGGCTGTGAACCGAGTGCAAGATCACAGCCGTTGCCTGAGATGCTGAGAGAAACTAGATGCGGCCGAGTGTTACTTGCTCTTGCGAGACATGCGGAGAGATAGCAGGCCTCATGCGTTCCCTGGCCGCCCAGTTCTTTGAGGCAGCTCTCGGTTTGTGGTCGCGCGAGATCAGACACGATGTCCATATGATGTTTTTTCGAACAGATATGGGCCTGCTTGAACGGCACGGTTCCTTCTTCAATCTGCAGAATCACTGTCGGGTCAAATGGACATTGCATGCACAGCACAGTAAACCATTTGATTGAAAGTGACTGCGACGTACCTGACACGGTCGGATAACCCGGACACATGTTGATCTTCCAGGATGTCCAGGTTGCGATGACAGGAACCTTGTTGCTGCGGACAGTCGGGAGGGCACTGTTCTGAAGCCCCAATTTGCTTGTGTTTACAACCCTGACTGACAGTTGGGGTTCTCCCATTCCGACAGACCATATCTGACAGGAGCCATTTAATGTTGATCATCCTTCAGTTTACCCAGAGCCAGGGAGAAGTCGATCCACAGGGATGTGCGAGCTTCGCGTGGGCGATGCACGCAGCCCAGGATGCAAATACAGTCGTTTGTGTTTCGTGTGCGCAGGTTCCAAACCTCTTGCTGGTACAAGCCAAGATATTGATGCACCATCAGACACTAAGCTTGGCAGCATGTGGCTGGCAATATGTCGGACAAACCCTCTGCCATCACTGCGCGGGTTTGCTTCGGCTACTTCGAACGAAGCTCTCCAGGGTCGCACAGAAGAGCTTACTCTCGCACTTCTTTCGTTGCTGGCCGGTTGCGTGGATGAGACGCGCATCCGTAGCCACAGCTTCATCAAGGACCAAGCTGCTGCTTTCTGGCTGAGCATTGCTCGACTTGCTCGCGCTTGGCTCCCAGTCGCCACCCAGGAAGCTAGTGCAGAATTCGGCTAATGAAACCGGCTTAAGTTTGAGCTAGTTTCTTGACGGGTGAGTTTGTTGAAGAATCAAGCAGGGCAATGCAGGGTATAAATCGGCAAAAACTTACGAATGAACCGATGACTTGGACCTTGGGGGGACATTCTGCTTTGACAGTCGTCGATCCTACTTGCCCGTCTCGCTTGAAGCATCTTTCCTTCAGGCAGAATGCGCATTGTCTCGTGCGCAGCTCCCAGTGGGCGTCAGGGATTTACTACTTCGTCTGTTTCGCCATGTGAAGCAAAGGTCGAGATTCTCGATTGTGCTCTTCTCCGGCCATTGAATGCCGTGAGTTTTGAGTCATGCAGGCGAGTTAGAGGGATCCTCATACCTGCTACGGGGATCACCGCGGACGAGAAGGGTTCAGGCCAGAAGAGATTTTGAAGACAGCGCTTGCTGCGTTTAGCCGGCACCGTGTAATATATAATGCACGTGAAACTGCCAGTCGCAGGCTTGCTGTACTTGTGGCTGCGAGTGTTTATAGTTGTCGTTCTCCCGCTCATGCTTCTTTGTAACTATATATCTGGAAGCCTAAACCCTACCTTATCCCAAATAACCTACCGTTTTAATGACCTATACAAAGAAATTATAATAAGGAGCCCTAAAAAGGTAGGTTCTTTGGGGTTAAGGTAAACCCCAAACAATGCTGAGGGTCTAGAGACCCGAGCCGAGGCATGAGCCCACGATGCGAAACTTGGCGAACATCTGTCCACTCCCCGGCCTGCATGCATGGAACGCAAGTAGCATTCGAGCATGGCGCCCTAGCTTACCGGAAGCACGCCAGCCCCCCTGCCCCTCACAGCACCCAAAAATCAAAGCTTAAACGACATGGAAGAAGTGTCCGACTCTCTCCAAGGCTGGGGCCTTGCCAAGCAGCGCTAGGTCGAGGCCCCGGCCCTGGTGCAAGGAAGAAAAGTGTCAAGAGCTTCCGAGAGGAGCAAGGAAAGTCAAGCACTGATGCAGAAGACTTATGAAGAGTTCGACCTGTGCAGGCTTCATTGTCGTAACAGGTTGCCACCTGAGACACTGCTCTTGGCTTTGCGGCAGATCAATGGCATTCAACTGTTGATTTGCGCCAGCCGTGGATCACAGGCACTGATTGCCTCATTCAGATAATAGCTATTCGTCACATGTGCGTAAAGGTTTGGTGCTGTGACTGTGTCAAGCTTGGTCTTCTTTTTCCTGCGCACTTCGGCAGGCTCGTCGGTACGAAGCACACCCTCAGAAATGTTGAATCAAGGAGGATGTCGGAGGAAGCACTGGAACTCCCAGCCCCGTGCCACATCTGAGGTTTCACGTTCTGCAGCCGCTCGGATTGCAGAAGGAGGTCCACAAAACTTGTCCAATGCCTGCACCTCAGCCACCTCTCAAGGCTGCGTGCTTGTGGAGGCATTGCCAAAAACGGTAGGTCGGGTAGATATGTGCCGTCGAGCTGCGTGTCTGCTGGAACAGGTCGCATGGGGGACGAGAACACCAGGCATCGATGGAAGCGGAAAGACCCTATGCTGTCGGCACGCTTGCCATCTGGTAAATGAGTTCTTTGCCATTGGGAACGTTGCATGGGCAGCCGTTTCAGCGCTGTCGAATTCTGACCTGGACAGGTTGGCAGGGCAGAGTGCTCTTTTTGGCGACTTCTACACAGGGCATGCTGAAAATCAAGACCTTCGCGCCACAGCACTCGTCGGTTTCCAAGCTCTTAGAGTGCCCGGACCATGCATCCTGAAAGAAGGCGACGCCTGTTCGGTTCACAACTCCTAGGGCTGCGAACTATTGCAAGGCTGTTTCCAAAGCCGACACTGCAAAACCCGCAAGTGTGGCAACGAACACATAGACTCCGGCTCCTCAATCGGGGAACTCCACAACGGCACACGGTAGGCAGTGGCCGCAACGACTCAGCTGGAAAACTGTTGTAAGGTCGAACCTGGCATGGTGTCCTGCAAAACCCGGCCTGAAGGGCTTGCTGCCTTTGGACTGCCTGGTCCCTGGCTTCCCCCTGTTGCTTGTTCAGAAGATCTGGTGCTAGCCGTTATGTTCAGGGTTGCCCGCCTGATCCAAAGGCGAACCACGTACTGCCTTTGTTCATTAGGCGAAGACTAAACTTGGATGCGGCCGCTGACACTGTCCGGATCATTCGATACTTGGGTGTGCCATGGTGTATCGACGTTACGATGTCAGCAGCGACCGCCCGCGCCTTCCCTCGGCATAGGAACGCTGCAGCAGCAACCCAGAACTGCAGATCGGCCTGCCAGGAGCAGAAGCCTTAGGGCTGTATGACTTCGGTTTCTGCAGATTGTAAAAAGAATTGAGTAGTGCAAGATGATGAAACAAATGCACCCCATAGACACCTGGATCAAAGCTAAACATTTGGAAGGGAGGGCTTCAATGCTGGGGAAACTGACAAACTGTGAGATAGTTGCCTTTCGCTTTGCCTTTGAGGTATTGCCGATGCCTCGGTGGAAAGCATTGACAAAGCAGACCGACAAGGCACATTCCCGGCTCCATACGGGCACATGTGCAGTGTTTCCGCACAGCTGCTGGACCATGAATCAATGATGCCATGTTGGTTTCCGGGTTTGCTGCTCATGTGGTGTTGTCGAGGCATTCTCATAGGTATCAAGTTGACAGACAGTGGAGCACATGTGAGACACTATCAACAATGAATAATTGTGTATGTATGTACGTATGTATGTGTATATCTATCTCTGTATGTACATGTATGCATGGATGGTTGTACGTATGTAGGTATGGTATGTCATCACGCACCACCCGTTCGAGATATGTCTACACGTACACGTGGTTTGCCGGAAGGCCCTGCCAACACGGCACGGGCGCTTGCTGCGTCGAACGTGCAGGGAGCCCGGTATGCTGACGCAAGGTGCGAGAGGTCCGACTTGGAAGAGACTTCTCGGTGCTTCTGAAAGGCACAGTTTCCACTAGAAGCCGCAATGATCGGTTCGCAAAGACGACAGTTGACAGAGTGAGCCTGTAAATGTTCAAGGCGACTGTCTGTTCCACTTGAGGCTGATTCCGCCACTGATGGATGCGATCAGGCTGATGTTCCGTGTGACTTCCCTCTGCCCGTACCCAAAGCTGTCGTTCAATGCTTTGCCTGCATTGCGAAGTCGTTGAGGTCTCACTGAAGATCATCTTAGACCTGGTGCCATAAACACCGAGCCAGCTGCCAATGGTAATATTAGCAGATATTAGCGGCCCAGCCGACGGAATGTAGGCGCAAATTCCCGAACGCAGGGTCCAGGTGCAGCTAAAGATCCTGGAGCTCACTTCACAACACGTCGACGGCTCAGTGTTCACAGAAGCCATCCGGTTTTGATGTCTCCTGATGTCCAAGGCGGCCACTACTGCCTGGGGTCCTGCCAAAGCAGTTTATGCGAGTGCTCGGGCCGGCTCCTGAAAGTGGCACAATGCGAGACCCTTCCTGGAACTTGTTCCGCGAACTGTCTGATGGAATCATGACGCGAACCCCCGACATGTGCAGACCAAAACCATGTAAGCATGGATCGCTGCAGTAAGGTGATGGATGCGGCAACACTCGTCTGAGTCCGAGCAGATCTGCGCACTCGCCATGTGGAATTTGCAGTCACAAGTTTGTGTAGTGCCTCGTGATGAAGAGGAGCCATGCCAGGGCGTGTTCGAAGCTTGCCTGTATTGCTCAGGCCGCCTGGCGCCTCCTTGGGGAACTTGGCACACAGGGTGTCGTCGCAGCCTTGAGTAGGTCCTGCACGTGGCCTTAAACATCATGGCACTGCACCCATCACTAGCGACGGGCTACGTTTGTTGTCTGACAGTGTCATGCCAAGGAATGCTTGCAACTCTGTCCTACTTTTTGTTGCATGGCTCGTGGCTTCTGCGTGTCTGCATTCCATAAGCTCGTTAGTTTCTAGGGGCCGTTACACGAGACTTGCATATGATCTCCAAAGGTGAATATCTTGTGGGCCGTGGCAAAGCTGATGACGGAAGGCGCGTGGACTGCACTTAGGATGCTGGAGATGCTGGGGCAGGCAGAAAGTACGCCACTAGGGATGCATTTCTAAAGGATCCGTGCGTCTCAATCCGCTCGTCAGGCAAAGCACTGGCTGATGCTCTCGCAGCCGCCGCCAGCGACCTGATGGCGGGCATGCGCAGATTGGCGTCTTCGCTGGGGGTCCCCCTTTGGGTAGCCGAATATCTGGCTGTAGGATTCTGTTGGATGCTGTCAGTTGTGCGTGCTGTGGAGGCCCAGATGAGCCCAGTCGACTTGTCGAATCTGTCATGGGCTTCTGCCACTTTGCAACGCCCGGCCCTTTGAGCCTAGGGCTGGATGAGCACTTCGGACTTCGTGACTACGATCGGTTCCTCAAGATTCGATCTTGTCCACCTGTGTCTGCACAGCTTGTCACAGTCATCCCATACCTTCGCAACCCTAGCCGTGTGTCCGCGGTGGTCGCAAGTCGAAACGTCCCAGAGTCCCATCGCCTGTGCCAGTGCAGCCGCTCCTGAGCGTATGCAGGCTTTGGCGAGGCTGGAATTTCTCCGCACATGCACGACGCTGCTTCTTCGGCCTTTGCAGCATGTGCTGTCGAGTGCTTGGTCTTCCGTCAGACGTGATGAGCATCTGACTCGGTCAACGCTGCATGCGCCAAGCCTCTGTGCCGATAAACGTTGTTGCAGCCCCCGGTGGCTCACCCGGAGGGAAAACATTAACGGGCTCAGCTAGCCAATAGGATCCAATAGGCCTATCGCAGTTCAAGATACCCAGCTGGTCCCTCGGCATAAACATGCACTTATAAGAAGAAACAAGCGCACACACACACACACACACACAGAGTGAGACTGCGACTGCCAGATCCATGCACTCGAAAGAGCCTGGCAGCGTGTGCAACATGCTCTCCACGAAGCAAGCCCGATGCAAGCTAGCCCAGCTTACGCGAGAGACATCGTTTCGGGTGGTCTGCTGACTCAAGCAATTCCCACACAGACCTCACATCCTATTTGCAACCCTCCGGACTTCAAGCCGCAACTCAACAATGTGGCCTTTTGGCCGTCGATGGCCAAAGCAGCGGTGCAGGCCGAGTACGCACTGTTTCGGTGTCGAGTTCCGGTCATGATGATGCACCCCTGTCTGTGATGGAACCCGTAGTCAGGTGCGGCTCGACTTAGAAGCAGTCGAACAGGCCCTGCCGGAGCAGGACGAGCGCTTGTACGTTGCTTCAGCGAGAGTGCTGGATGTCGGGTCGACCTGCACCATGTTCCACCGTATGCAGACAGAAAGGCCGGCTTCGGGGAACCTAGGTGTGCTAAGCCATCTAGTTGCCAGCTGCAGCACTCCGCTGCTTAGCTCGTTGCGATCCGAAAGCTACTGCACGAATCTTTTGCTGAGGACTTCTTCAAGACCGCGTCTCCATCCAAGTCGCCCCGTCTCGCGCACTGCGCCCGCAGCCATCGGCTGAGGGTGGGACGCGCAGACAAGATGCTTGCTTGCTTGCTTGCCTGCTCCCATGTGATCGACTAGGATATATCACATGTCTGCTGTGCGGTGTCAGGCGCCCGCGAGTAGGCATCGGGTCATCCACATGCCTTTTCGCAGGAGCTCTGGCAACTCCACATAGGTCTTTACACTAGAGTCATTACTCGGAGAGACCCGCTACGGATCGGCATGCACAATCATCTGACAACTAGCACGAACCATTGACCAGGAAGCCTTGCCTGTGCTTTATGTACCCCGATTACAGTATCAGTTCGCCTCGCAGCCACCTCATTTTGGGTGAGCTGTGACAGCGGCAGGGATTGCCAAGACTGTGTCGGAAGGCGGGCTTTGCATGTGCCGCTTTCTCAGCCGCGGCGAGCTGCGTGTCCGGGTGCCTCGGACGATCAGAGCGGAGTCTGCCCGAAGGCCACAGGTCAGGTCAAGGTTGAGGCCGAAGGCTACAGCATCCGCTTGCTCCTTTCTGGAGACACGGCATGTGAAGGCTGTGGGCTAGAAGATGCTTGCTACCCTTCATGCTGCCAGAAAGCCTGGGCAGTTTCAGGATCGTGGCCTTCAGTACCTGGGAACCGGCCATCATCTTTCAGCAGCGGCACCGCGATCAGAAGCAGTCGCCCTTCGCAGTTGTGCTCGATGCAGGCAATTGCGGAAAGTTGTCTGCAATGCATTTCTATCACGCGTTGTCTTCGTCTTGTAAGCCATCTGTCCGCGTGACAAAGTCAAGTTTGCTGACAGGGAGCACCGGCAGCCGCGTGCACATCTACTGTTTCGCAGGAGGCCTTAGCTGCTTCTCCGCCGCAGCCTGCATCACTTGCAGACATGGTCCACAGTTGTAGCATGTGCTGACGTACAGGCGACGATTGTGCTGTCGGAAGCGAAGTTGTGAGGCGCCGTGTTATAGCTATACCGACCAGCATGGCGCTTGCGCAGCGTGGCTCCTTTCTGTCCTGACAAGGAAGACACGGCCCGGTCTCAACAGCTGCTCGGAGCCAACATGCTTGCCACGGCCTGAGCTTCTGGATTTTTGTTGGTTTGACCCCCTACTTCGGGCAAGTTGATGCTTGCCTTGGGCATGTCACAATGGCCGAATTTTGATCACGAGTGTTGCGTCCGAGGTTTGTTGATCTTTGACGTTTTCCCCACAAGGTGAAATAAAAGCCTGACGGCACATGCCGTCAATTTGCCTGTAGACGAGCGGCATGGCTGGAGATGATCCGGCAGCAGTTACAAGATCAGCGCGGATGCTGTCTGCGATTCTGTCAGCAGGGCATTACACCGTAGCGATGCACAATGCAAAACCAGGAGCAAGACCTGGTGTTCGGCCGATGCGCATTGATAAGCTTACTTAGCGACTGATAGACTGAAAGCTCCTGCCCGGGCCAACGATGATCTTGCCGATGTGGTCGCGCTGCTGAGGTCGTCACTCCTGCAGCCACTGCTGTCGGAAGTGACTTCGCGAGTGCCTTGCATGCCATCAGACGGTTCGCGCGTTCAACGGCATCCGGAAGTCTCCAATGATCTGTGACGCCAGGTGCCTCAGCATTTTCTCTCCACGACCCCGTTGGCAGTCCGGGCAACGGCAGGCCTTGGCCTGGGCGGGTAGTGGTGGCGTCTGCATGGAAGAGTCGCTCTTGATGCCTTGTTGACGTACAGAAGTCAGTGCCGCCATCCGAGCCCGAGCCCCAGCCCTGAGCGATTTCGCTTTCCTTCGACCCATGGACAGGTTTCCGGCTTTTGGATCCTGTCCAAGTCGACTTCCTCCTGCGACCCGGCTGCAATGGTCTCGCCCGGTGTTCTGCAGTGAGCTGCAGCTTCTAAGATCAGAAATGCTTGCAGGTCAGTAGATTCTGCTTTGCAGCGAATGAGCCGTACGCTAATTTTAAATTTTGCATGCTGCGGCAAGGTCGCAAGCACTGGCCAAGCAGTCCCGCTACCGGTAGCTTTGACATGCCATTTACTACCCGAACACAAACCATGCCGGCAAGCACAAGTCTCCAATTTGCCCCTTGCCGTATGAGCCGCAAATCGGAGTCAAGCAGCGGTTCACACATCACTGAAGTTAGAGCTTGCTTGTCATCCCTGCCTAGAGTCTGCCCAGGGATGGGATCCAAGACCTCGTTCGGCAGCACTCGCTTCTGAACTCTACGATCGAGGCACTTCCTAATTAAACGCTGCGCGTCGTCCGCCTCGGCCCGGCCGTATGTTGGGAGGAAGACATGATGCCAGGTCTAGGGCTTTTGCTTTCGCGGATATCGGGGTGCAGCGTCTGCGGGGTGAAGAGTGATAGGGCTTGTGCATAGACAAACTATATATAATTATATATAACTAATAAATAAATAAATAAATAAATAATATATATATATATATATATATTTATTTATATTTATATAGATAGTGTGACAGCACCCGCAAGGGGGGGAGGGGGGGGGAAGGGGGGGGAAGGAGGGCGGGGAGGGAGGGCTGGGGCAAACAGCCCAAATCCGTTGGAGGGGCGAAACTTCACCCCCGGACCTTGGGGCTCATTTGTGGGTTCACACAGAGGGAGCCCCCCCCCCCCCCACAACGGGGTGGGGGTCAGTGGGGAGGGGATTTTGAGGTGGGGAATAGAGGGAATCCGAATAGGAACCTCTGACCGCTTCGGCCGAGGCTGAGGCGAAAAAAAACCCTCGGCCCTAACCAAAAAGTTGATAGCCTAGACTCACTCCCTTCCCCCTTTTCAGAGCCGGCAAACCCCAACACGCAAACTCTATTCTACCTCTGTAGTTACCCTGTAATGAGACTAAACGCCAAGCGCGATACCCTACACCCTAAAGGTCACCCTTCAGAATCACGCCCTTCTCAACCCTAAGCCCCTGAACCCAAAACCCCAAAACCCTAAACCGCAAAAACTCTCAACAACAAGCCCTTCTCTCCATCCTTTCCGTGATCAGACGACGGGGCTCGAGTATCGACAATACCCTAGAAGCCCAGATCATGGGATGTAGAGGGTTTAGGGCTTGAAATTTAGGGGTTTCGGTTTAGGATGTTTAAGGTTGAGGGTTTTGGGTCTAGGAGCTTAGCTAGTAGAAAACTGGTCTTCGCTACAGTTCTTCCTCCATATACCTTTAGTTTATGCGATATAGATCCCTTTATTACCTGAACATTGGATACCGCTCCTTAATTAAGCCTTTATTTTACTGCTGATAACTCACTAATTATGTACGTGAGTGGGCTTCTAGGGCAAGGTAGGTGCTAATGGGGAGTGTGCCGGCAAACGCCACAAAAGGGAAAGCGCCGGTGCTTGAGTGCAGGGTGTTGCCGGGCCAAGCCTAGGCCCCCCAAAGCAAGAACTTAAACAAAGAGGTACTCTACATCTCAATCCGGGACCTACAGACCCCAAACCCAAAGCCCTAAACCGACCATAAAACCCTAATTACACCCTAAACCGATCATGGAACAAGAGCTTTCCCTAAACTTAACCTTCGATTGATTCGGTTGTAAGGACTAGCAGCATTCCAGCCTTGAACGCCCGAATAAGTCTGGGTTCTGGAGTACCATACTTGAATATTTTTGTTATTGAACCTGTTCCTCAAAGGAACCAATATGAAATAAAAGTCTATACTTTTTTCTCCCTGGTTACTTCAACGTCCAGAAGTAGACCGGGCTTTATGTGGGGCTGCGACTATATGTAATCATAAGGGTCCCCCCTGAGGAATAATGCTGCGCCATACTCCGACTGCTCTATGTGCTAGATCCTTAAACCCTAAAGCCTAAACCCTAAACCCTAAAGCCTATAAAGCCTAAACCCTAAACCGTAAGCCCCTAAAAGCCCTAAGCCCGAACCTCGAAACTGCTGAAGCCCTAAGCCTAAGCCCCTCAACCCCCATAAAGCCCTCTCGGTCCTCGGGTTAGGCCCCTACCTTAACACCCGCAAAAACCTACTTGTCTAAGTGTTCATAGGAACATGAAGGAGCCCTAAGCCGGTGGGCTATCTAGCAGGGAAGAGCTCAACCCTGAACCCTAAACCTTGAGCCCTACACCCTAAAACCCTAAACCCCTAAACCCTAAAACCCTAAAACAGCAAAAACCCTGAGCTCTAAGCCCTCCTGCGAGCCCTATAGACTCTATAGGCCCCGGAAGCCCTCAAGACCAACTACCAGATCCTGCTTTTTGTAGGCTCTTGTGTTAAGCCCGAATTTGGAATATATGCTTATGAAAACTACAACCCTGATATGGAGTTTATAGGGACTGTGCAAAAAGGAGGTTTCGGAAGGTCACAGCAGGTCCTAAACCCTAAACCCTAAACCCTAAACCCTAACCAAAGAGAGCCCACCTTCTGGGAGCAGGATCTCAAAGTGTGGCTCATCGAGGTGAACTCGTCGCCCGGGTGCCCAAGAAAGGTAAGGCTTCAGTGGTTTCGGGTTCAGGGCTTTCGGGTTTAGGGTTGTGTTGAGGGTTTCGGGGTTTAGACGTTGAGGGTTTAGGGTTCAGGGGGTTTCGGGTTTAGGGTTGTGTTTAGGGTTTTAGGGTTTAGGGGCTTAGACGTTGAGGGTTTAGGATTTACCGGTTTAGGGTTTGGGGGTGCAGGCGTTTAGAGTTCTGGGGTTTCACGGGCGGTGGGGGTAGGGTTTAGGGTTGCAAGACTCGCAAGCATTCGGGTTTCTGAATTGCAGAGGAGCGTTCTGCCCAAAACCCTGAATCCCATTTCAGACCGCCTTTAGCAGGAGCCGACATGCCCCAACAACGCAACTGCCCTAGAACCGAAAACTCGAAATTCGAGTTGAGGTTTCCTCAAATTAGGATAGCTGTTAAAGAAGCAAACTCCATGCTCCAAAACCCAAGATGCAATCCCCGATATCCGAAACCCTAAGTCCCAAACCCTCAACCACAATACTAGAAATCTGCGACACTATCGTCCTAAAGGCTAAGTCAAAGCCTGGCCTAAACCCTAAACCCCAAACGGGACTCCCGAAGTGGGACCTCCAAACAACCCTATCAGTTATAGAATCCTGAGCAAACCTCCCTACATAAGCCTCCAAAAAACTGCCGGATTCTTGTAAGACCGCTTGCTTCATCCCGAAGGTTTCGGCAAAGCCGACAGGCCTCCATTGCCCTAAACCCTAAACCCTACCCATAGGCCCCCAAGTAGTTCCTTTTCATGATTTATATGCAGAATCCTATAAGGTAATCCCAAAAATTAACTACTTAGGGGCCTATGGGTAAACCCTAAAACCCTAAAGGTCCATAAAGACATCAAGGATTCGAACCGCACGCTTAAAGCTAGACAACCCCCCCCCCCCAACCCTGGAAGACCAACGGGCCCCAACCCCTAAGCAACCTGCAACCGAAAAGACCTACCTTTTTAGGGTTCCTTAATAAGGTTTCTATACATAGTTCCTTAAAGATGTAGGTCTTTTAAGCCACATTCAGTCTAACAGGCGAAGGGCCTTAATACCTCGTGCCCCCTGGGGATCACTATTTCTAGTTAATTATATTACACTATACCCCTCCCCTCCAAAAAAAAGCCTTAATGTATGGGCCTAAATAACTACCAATACTATTTTTTGGGGGTAGATTGCTTGTTATAGTTATAGTATACTGGGCCCCAAAGCCCTATTTTAATTCATTTCCCAAACCCTAAACCCTCAAGCCTAAACCCTCATTGAAAGGCTGGCTCAAGGTTCAAAGGAGGGCTAAGGTTGCAGGCCTCAGGGTGTAGGATTACATTGTTTCGGGTTTAGGTTTAGGGTTTAGTTAGGGGTCAGGGTGTAGGTTTAGGGTTTAGGAATTCGAGGTTAAGTACGAAACCCGATACTTGCACTGCGACCTTGGACCCCTACAAATACCCAGAACCCAATACCCCTTGATTAAGGAATCTACCTTAAATTATAGGGGCCTTATTATCATGATTTAAGATATATTCCGGAAGAATCAAGGCACCCTAAACCCTAAACCCAAAGCCCTAAACAATAAACCTTAAGCCCTAAGCCCTAAACTCTAAACCCTAAGCCCTAAACCCCCAAACCCCTAAACCCCTAAACCCTTAAACCCTAAACCTTAAACCCCCTTGACTGAGGCCTGACCTCTCCTACTCCACCTCGACCACTCGGCAGATGGTGAAGTCCATGATAGAGGATGCTCACAGTCTAAAGGTTTAGGATTTAAAATTGAGGGTTTACGGTTTGGAATGGAGTTTAGGGTTTAAGGTTTAAGGCGTTTAGGGTTTAGGGCTGTAGGGGTTTGGTGTTCAGCGTGGTCTAAGACGAAAAGGCCGTGGGTTTAAGCTTCATGTAGGCGTCTCAACACTTAGAATAAGTATCTCCTTGGGACATTGTCCCCGTATAGCGGTAGTACCATGTACAGCGGAAGAAGCCTTTATATTGCGCTATATATACATAGAGTTATGATTACAATTAATTATAATTGGTGATTATGATCCGAATAGTCTCATTCTTATATTTTTATGATTATTATTGGCATCACTACTATCATCATTATTTCTTTGGCGCTGTGGTTTGAGGGCTCGGGGGAATCCGGGTTGAATGAAGACTGAAGTGTGCTGGGTGGGCGCTTTTGAATTTTGGGGGACGTTCTGTATAGGAGGCCCAGTTTATATTTCGGGGAACTTTACTACCCTCGGGCTACTGTTGATTGTTCAGGAACTTTGATACCTTCGGGCTCAAGAGTTTAAGAGTTCATTCCCTTACAAGTTTGGGGCCTTTTTATGCGAGCTACATGCATGTTCGGACGTGGTAAGCGCTGAACGCCGAGATTTGCAATCCCG